GCGGTCAGTGCAGCTAAGATCCAGTGAACAATGGGTAAGCACTAGCAGGGGACATCAGAAGAGAGGGCGGAGTACGGGAAGGCGACACATGTAGAACCTGGTAACGTTTGGAATCGATTCTGAATGGAATGGGGACCCGCTGGAGCAGTGACCACAAGGACAGGAACAGCTAGCACAGGTCAAAGGGATCGATGACCCAGAGCACCGTGCTAACAGCAGAGGTGATGCGAAAGGCCACATTCCAGACCCGCGTGTAAGATTCGGCCAACGGAGTTGCCAGTGGACTGGACGTGGGATAAGGGAGGAGGCGAACATGAAGCCGGTGACGCTGGCGTTTGGACCAGGTCATTCTGTCGGTTCCCACCACATCAAAAGCAGTCAGTCAAATAAGAGCAGTGAGTCAGACTCGGGCACACCTTGCAGAAAACACAACCAGGTATTCCCAGGGGGGAGACATTGCAACCTTGCAGGAAACGCAGAGAGGTGATCAACCAAACAGCCCAGCTGAAATCAACTTCAGATTCATCTGCAGACCAGATATTTCACTGATATAAGGAAAACTTATATACCTTATGAACACTGACTGGTAGGAAAATGCATGAAGACGAGCTCACGAAGCCCTCGTGGCCTCAAAGACTTTGTCCAGGAAGCATATCCCGCCAGTGGTTACACGGGAAAATCATTTTATGTGTCCTATTTCTTCACTTCAAAAGGCTACAAAGTGAAAACTAAATAGTACGATTGTGTTTTAAAGGTTGGGAAGGCTGTCGCTGTACTTTCTCTTTGTGACTTTTTGTCACCTATATGGGAGTGCCGTCCCCAGCCACTGGCCCCTGCCCTGGAGCAAATGCTAATGGAAAAACAGGGGTCTAAGAGTATCCCCCATTTCCAGGAGAATTAGAGCAGAGTCCAGCTCTAACTTTTCTGTCTTTCCACCGAGCTTCCTCCAAAAATGCTTGTGGGGCTCCATGAAATGCCTTAATTACGGCCCTTCATGTGAGCTCCTTACTGTTATACTTAATTACCACGCAACACATACCATCCGCGGTCAGATTAACTTTGCTGTAACTAGTGTTTGATTATGACACTAAAAACCTATCGATTTACACCAAGTCATCATGCTTTGTTATTCACATAGCTTGGCTGGCCCCACCCAATTAAAAATAAAAAATTAGAGGTAGTATTGATTATCAAAACCATTTTTTATCCGTAGGCTAATCCAGACCAGATGTTACATACCAGGTTTCGTGTAAATGCAATTTCTCTGTAAGGAGAGAAGCTTGCTAGAAACATTCTTTCCTGATGAAGGATGATGAAGTAATATTAAAAATAATTCTCCTTTGAAAAAGATCCTAGCCACTGCAGGTAAGGCCAGAAAAGCCTAGATTTCTGACTCAAACATGGTGTTGGCAACACGTGTACTTAAAAAGCTACCGGCGATGTT